CAATGTACACATTTGGATTGACAGATCGCCGGGGAGCTATATCTTCGTAATCATACACGGCGAGGGACAATTCTTTTACGTAGGCTAGATGTGTCTTTGTGCACAAACCGGCACAAACCAGATACAAATTTGTATCTACGTTACATACAAAATACACAATTTTTACCTTGGACCTCCGGACAGAAAAATATGTATCTGATGAAGATGTGTTCAAAGACACATCTAGCCTAGGTACAAAACTTGTCCCTTCCCATCTAGAGTGCATGACGCAAACCAGTTTACATCGTAGCAGCACCGTTCTTTCTTCTGATTATTCCGCTCCGGATTCCAGGAGCGCGGGCACGGGCAGGCCGAGCCCCGTGCGGGTATGCAACCCGGACGCCTGCCTGATACAGTATACTTAAGCAAAAGAAAGAAGGGCGCCGATTGGGCACCCTGTATTTTAAAGGTGCCACATCCTTTTGAACATTACAAAGAACAGTTGTTTTCTCATAACCTACAATGTGAATGATGAGTAATAGGTGTAATTTACCTCCGAGTATGCGATGGTCGTTCCTCTGTCGCACCACGAAGTCTGACTCATGGTGGGAAAGTGTGTTTGTCATTGGGTAAGTACTGCTAGGGTATGCATAGACTTGGATAGGTTATCGCTTTTCAAAGTGTCTTTTTTCGTCTCTTTGATGAGTTCCTCACGATGTTCTTCGACTAGATCTTTTCTGTTCGTAATACGCCTAAGCACGTTGCCAATGAGAGTGATCTATAGTCGATCTCTTGCTCTCTTGTAATTTGGATGAGCTTTTACTCATGTATTCTCACACTAAACCTAAAAGGACTTTTATTGTCCATAGGAAAGCGCGTTTTTGTCGGTTTTTGTGCACATCTCAACCGGATGCAGATTTAAATCTAGCAAGTGACGAAGCATCCTTTTTCTGGACAATTATTTTTTGTCCATCATTCATTAGGGTGCAAATTCCTCACTTGCTAGATTCCAATCTGCATCCTAATGAACTTTATGACTTGACTTGACGTCACTTGACTGCTTAATCGTTGCTTTGGATGGGGAGAGGGGTCTGGCCATACTTCAGTTTTCTGACTCATGGAGACTGATTTATTGGCAAGAGATTTACAGGGTAACTTTTAGGAACAACAAGAAGAACCAATGAGCCAATAAGAATAAATAATTACTGTAATACCAACTATCGTTAAAACCCTCGTTGAAGTTGAAGTTGAAGAAAACTAATACAGAACATGTATAAATAGCAGGGTTGCCATATTTTAACACACCCGGTTGAGATGTGCACAAAAACGCGTCTTTCTATGGACAACAAAAGTCCTTTCAGATTTAGTGTGCTTCTACTTCTGTGCGCATGTGTGTTAAAATATGTAATTAGTGAAAAACTGTTTTCTACTGTACAAAATTATTTTGAATTATTAGCGAATGGATTGCATCATTTTTAGGAGTCAGATTTCACTTCTTACCCATTCAAAAGTGTATGGGGGAACACTGATCTTGCTTTCTCAATCATGCATGCTTACTTGTCATTTCATTTTTGTGTGTCGTGAGTCATGAACTGTCAACACATCTTATTACTCAGCCTGGTCGCTATAGTTAGTGACAAGTAGTGCCACCACTATGCTACCATGCTACCACTTTTCGACAGAAATGATTATACTGGATTATACCCAAGTTTTTCTATACTGGAACTGTCTTTAATAGGCCAGAAAATCACTTGGTTTTGCACACTTTCGATTCATTGAGAATGTTTGCCAGCGAGCCGTCCGACTGGCGCCACGAATACGCTGCTTAGCACATTTCTTGTGACAGTCGTTCGACTCAATCCCCCTCCCCATCCCCTCTTTTCCGATTTCGCTTTTGACATCGGAAAAGTCTCTATCGCTGACGTCACATCTCTCTTTCTTTTCTGTCGGTATTCGGCGCGCCGGCGGGGCGGCAAACGCGGGGCTTATCACAGGGCGCTCGTGTCTCCGCAGCCTCAGCGTCTGTCTGTCGCCGGCCCGGCCCGTGACCCCCGGCGACCCCTCGGCTGGGGCTCCTGAGGGCGGCGCTGGCGCATGGCGCTCAGCGAGATGAGTCGCACAGCATCTGGCGGCTACAGACCTGTACTTATTTATTTCTTAGTTGATAAGTTTTTATGCAGCAGGGATTACTGACTTAATTGTTACTTATTGTGTGAACTTTGGTATGTAACTTACTGACTACAGAAAAAAAAATATCAGTAGTGCAAAAAGGAACTATTTCGTACAACTCATGAAAAAATAGCCAGACGCTTTAATGCTTTTTCAACAGCATTAACACGTTGATTCCCACGTGACCACACGTGTGGTCACAATAACCCGTGTCTGCTACCCCCCCCCCCCTTTTTCCATGGGAATCATCGTGTCAAAACTGAGAGGTGAAAAAATTATAAATCAGTATCGGGATGTGAGTGTAGCCTGCCGCGCTGATTGCATGCGCTTTAATTTGACCCATTTCTCTGTGATTTAACTGGAAATGCTCTAACGTTAGTCATGTTTGCACGTCAGAGTTCGTTTACAGCCAGCAGTAACCCTTTTTGACCAACGTTGGTGCAAATATTTTGGATTCATTTAATAATAAGGTACCAGGTGGCTGACTAGACGCACTTTTGTTGTTTTGCTGTGTACCCCAGATTACTGTCCCGCATGAAGTATAGTGCGAGCGGGTTGCCTACTCGTTCGGCCCGTCAGGCGCCGTGGTCAGCGATACAAGAAAAACCCGCCCGCATACACTCTAAATGACCAAGGACATTTTTTGTAACAACCTATGGACGTTTTAAAACATAACTTAGTAAATTTCAATTTTGTTGGTCGCTAGTTAGTTGAAACTGACAACACACAATTGGCAGTCATTTTGTATCTAGCTTAGTTATGTTTAAAATCGTCCGTAGGTAGTTACAAAAATATCCATGGTCAGTGTGTACTCCTGCATGCGGTACAGTTTGTATTACTACACAAGTGCGCGGGGTTAGTCTAACGAGCCACCTGGTAAATTTAGTTTCAGAGTCGGTTTAGTGTACTCGTCCAAAATCATGCTTGGCCGCAAAAGCAGGTGTTATTTTCTGTGTAAGAAGTGATCAGTGCGCAAAAAAAATTGCCGTGATAGTAATGGGTATTATATTTATGAGTGCGAGTGCGCCTCTTGTAAGTTGGTAGTTTTCCGAGGTGTTTGACACCCTCTCCGGATAAGTCAGTATTCAGATATGCGCGGCGGATTGTCTTTTCGTTATCACCTTTCGCTCTCAGATGGCCGCTGGCGGCAGCTCCCCCCCCCCCCCCCCACTTTTCCACCCGGACCCCTCCACATGATGCAATCTCACCCGGCGCTGCTCAACAGCGGAGCCCCGCACGCGTGTGTCTGCGGACGACACGCACGTGACTCCGGCCCGTGCTCCCTCGCGCTCGCTAGCGCCGGTGAGAACCGACAAGAGTGGAAAGTAAAAAGCCTCCGTGTCTATTGAACCGCTCCTATCTCAACGATACGACCGCCCGTGCCCCCCCCCCCTCACTTCCCACTTCCCCACCGTCGCGTGAACTCGGCGGAACGCGGCTAATCCCCCTAGAATAGCGGCGGGCGGTCTCAGGTTGTGACGAGTTGTGACATGTGTATTCCGGTCGAATACCGTAGGTCGGGCCCCAGCGGTGGCAGCGGCCGGGCAGTAGCTCACCGGCTCGCTGAGTTGTTCAATTCTTTCGGACACAGCCAAAAAAATGTCATAGAAGCGTTTTTCCACGACAAAATGGCTGGCTTACTCGTCTGTAGCATGTGTCTGAAAGGTGACTGTGAGAACAATTTGTTGATGAATTAATTACACCGTAAGCAAGCTTATTTTCACTACTTTAAAATTACGTTAAAATGAAATTGAATTATTAATGATTAATCGTGAACAATATTTGATAGTAAAAAATTAATGTCAAAAACTTCAATTTATGTCTTAATATCTGTCCTAGTGTTAAGATACATTTCATCATTCGCTAATATCTAAGATTACAATGTGTGGTGAGCGACTCTCTGTATAGTACAGTGTCGCCACGCGTGGCTTTGTGGTGCTTTGCGGCCCGCTGCGCCCAGCTGCTGGCTCTAGTGCCATCCCGGCCAATCGAATGCCAAATGGGGGCGGCCGCGTGCGAGGGCTGCGAGGGCGAGGGCCACGTGTGATCACAACGCGCTACCCGTCGGTGGAGTGACTGTACCGACTAAACATACCCGTGAGTCAGCCAGGCGGGCCCGGGCGGGCCCCCCTGCCCTCTCCTGCAGGGCGCTGGGCCTCCCTCCCTGGGCTGGGCTGGGCTGGGCTGGGGGCAGCGGGGCAGCCACACGGCGGCGTTGCAGGGCATTTAAATGCCGGTCCATTTAAACCCAGCAGATGACTACCTGATCTGCACGACCCCGAACTCCGTCCCTCCGAGGTTTTAGATTCTAGTATACTTTATTTTCGAAAGAACATTACTAATTTTGATAAAAAGACCACTTCCTATACTTTTTACTTGCAGGTTTCAGGGTATACATTTTTCCCCTGAAATTTAAGATATGTTTTGTAATTTACTATTTACAAAAAAACTGGAACTGGAACGTCAATCCGCAATCTTTATCAAAACGGGAAACTTTTACCTTCGGGTGGAGACAGCCACTGGGGACTGTCTAAAAAGTGTTGTAAATTTACGACAGCCCAACCTTGCTCGTCGGTGAATCTGAAGTCGTTAGGTAGGTACAAGTTGAAAATTTATTGTTACAATCAGAAAACTCTTTTGAGAGTGATGTGGGCTTACGATTTCCGCCCGGTCCCCGAGTGTACCTTCCCGTCTCATACCTTCCTGCCCCACTGTTGAGTACCCCTTCCCCTCCCCTGCCGCCGGTGTCCGTGCCTGCCTGCCAGCCTTGGCTGCCCGTCCCTCGCGGGCCGCGGCGGCTGCCGGCTGAGGTGGGGGGAGGCAGGGGCCTTGCCGGCGCGGCCCGGCCTCGTCGGAGCCGAGCCGAGCTGCGGGTTCATTCTTGCAGTGGACTGAGGAGAGAGCGGCTCGTGGCGCGCTGGCTGACGACACATCGCCGTGCTCCTCGTGGACGTCGCCGCCGTGCTTCTGTCTCGCACTCCTTCCTCCGACTCCCTCGGCGCTGCCGTCGTGACCAGCAGCGCTCCGGATCTCGCCGGCTCTTAGGATACTCCGGCCACCCTCCACGACGGCGACCCTCAAGCGCGGCCGCGTGGTCTCCCCCGCCGCAGTCTTGGAGAAGATTAGCGGTGCCATCGAGAACTTGAGGTGAGTCTCTAGCGATAGTGCACCGGGTGGGTCCCTTCCCTTGCCGTTGAGCCACTCACAGTGTGAGCCCATGTTCACTGCCCTTTGCCTGCTCTCATACGAATCGTAACTCATGTCACGTGGCCTGTCAGACCGCCCCCTCCCCCCCCCCCCCGGGTGTTCCTCTAGATCCGTACCTGTCAACCCCTCGACTTTTTCTCGGGGAAGAGTTCTGGATGGCACCGAAGGCACGACTTAGTGGTCGCGTGGCCGACAACCGTTTAGCTTCCTGTGCTGCCTCCTGCACGTTATCACTCAGATGTGACTGATGGGCGGTCACCACGCGCAGGCCGCGAGCTACCGCGCCCCGCAGCCCGCGCCGTGGCTCTAGTGCAGCGGCAGGGCGGTTTCCCTACGTTGGTTCCCTTCTTTTTTCTATTATCTATTTCGACGGTAGCGGAGCCCTTCCCCCTCCCGGGTGCGCCGGCCGGCTGCCCGGGGCCGTGGGGGGTGGTGGTGGAGGTGCGGGGGCGGAGGGGAGGTAATTGCCTAGTAACAGGAGAAATGTTGCGCCCGCGGTACTGTGGTAATGCCCTGGCTGTGCCCTGGCTGTGCACGCCGCCGGGCCGGGCCGGGCGGAGCGGAGGAGAAACCTCCCACCTCGACCTGCAAAAGTAGCTCGGTGCGCCTCGCCTAGGGCAGCCGGGAGCTCCGGCGGGAGGTGCCGCCGCGCTGGCTGCAGCTTACACAGGACCTTATCTGCCAGCGGCTCAGCGGCTATCTCCATGCACATCGAGTGCAGTGCGCAGCCAGCGGAGCCTGCACCTAGCGCCCCACCCGCGGTTGTTGAACCCCCGCAACGCTGCTGATCTGATCAACCTGCCGTTTGCCTGCGCTGGGCTAGGGCGAGTTCTGTTCTGAGTTCATCTGAGGTCAGGCGTGATCTCTCTGTCTCTCCCTC